ATATAAGGGTATGCGTTTTGAGGGGTCTTACAAATTCGATATATAACCTAAACTTCGGGATTGAGTTTATTCCTGTAGTAAGGTCTTACAAAATTTTCATGCCTTTTGAGGTCTTACAATTTTGTTGATACTTGGTACAAGTATGATTCATGCCTAGCTTGAGGTCTTACAGTTTTTGTTGTTTCCTTAAAAGGTATTACTAGACCGAGTCTGCCCGCTTGGGGTCTTATGGCCTCGGATTTTTAAATGAATGCCGATTGGCGACACTCTCTGAGTCATCGAGTTTGCTTTTTCTCGGGAGCCGTTACTCGTGAGCTCGGAATTGCCTCGTTGAGGGCTTATGATTTTGGGGATTCCGACCCTAAAGTCATGCGCTTTCTGAGTTTTTGATGCCAGTCTTCGAGTGTTCGGGACATTTTTCCTTTTTGGAGATATTTCGTGATTTCCGTGCTGCCTCGTTGAGGGCTTATGAGTTTGGAGTTCAGACCTTGAGGCCATGCGGTTGCCGAGTTAGTGACGCTAGTCTCTGAGTATTTCGGGGCGTTCTCGGTGGAGGGATCTTTGCTGTGAAAATGCTGAGTTTCCTTTGGAGTACGAGATGCTTTGGCGAAAGATATTTTTTGATCGCTTGGCACAAGTACATGTCGTTTTGCTGCCGTGGGTCCAGCTTATTCGGACAAGGTTCATTAGATCGTTTGGCCCGGTACATCACTTCCTACTAGAACTTCTCTCGACGTTCCTTGGTTTTTCCGAATGGATGACCTTTCAAGGGGATGCCCTCCAGTGTTCGGCGTTGATTGCAAAAGAAGCCCTGTGCGCTTGTTGGATTCTCCTTAGGTAGCGCGTGGACGTTGCCTCATTAAAAACCTTGCCGGTGAAACCCTCTTCGGGAGTAAAGATCGGCTGAAGGAAAAGAGTGCAAAGGATGCCTTTAAGGCCTTGAGATCTTCGGGTTGGGTTAGTACTTTCGACTGCCCTCATCGGGCGCCTGCATATAGGTTAGGGTAAAATAATGAAAAAGGGAGGTGGTCATACCTTATCGTGGGATGCGCTGGCGATGTTCCGAGGTTTGATGTGTCTATTGTTTAGACCGATGACTCGGTACGGTCCTCCGCTGTGTTTAATCGGGCTTAGCCGAGGACATAGTTTGATTATCCTTTGGCTCTTTCGAGAGTGAAGATATTGGTGACGGCGCTCTGTTACGTACTGCGAACACTTCCCTTGCCGCGTGTTGTTCCCTGTAGATGGTTTTAACCCCATACTCTGTTGGAAAGTTCATAATTTGGCGGAGGCTGGATGGTATCGCTCCCATGCAGTGTATCCTTGGTCGCCCGAATTAGGCGTTGTATTTCATGTCTCCTTCGATGACATGGAATTTGACATTCTGGGTCGTGCCGGCCATGCTGAATGGGAGAGTGATCTCTCCTTTCATTGTTTCGATCGCCGTGTCGAATCTGTTAAGGACTCGAGTGGAAGGCATGATTTGGTCCAGCAGTCCAAGCTGCTCTATTACCCTCGACCAGATAATGTTGGTCAAGCTACCTGGATCTATGAGCACATGTTTTATTCGAAATGAATTAACGAGGAAAGAGGTTACCAACGCACTGTTATGTGGTTAGGACGAGGTTTCGGAGTCCTCCTCGCTGAATGCAAGGGCATCTTCGGGTACGCATCCCCGAGTTCGCTTTTCTCTGGTGATGGATATTTTTGTCCTCCTCATCACGGGTTCCTGGGGAGTGTTGATGCCTCCTAATATCATGTGGATAACATATTGTTGCTCATTTGCTTCGTTCTTCTTGGCCGTGCATATTGATGATGTTCACATACTAAGTTGTGATTCCTCTGGGAAGGATCCGACTGAATAGGCCTGGGCCATTTTGCGTCCCTGATTTTGCTGATGGCGAATACGATGTACGATACGTCGACGCTGAAGTTGCATTCTGATAGGAGAGGTGCCCCCCTTGGCCCCGTGACCCCGTCAAATCCGGCTCTGCTAATGAGTCCTCTATGGTTCTATCCTCGGTCTGTTCTCCGATCGTTGTAAGGTAGGTTGCGCCTCGGGGCATTCCCCTTATCTTTGATGTACGGCTGATATCTTTCTTTGTTCGGTTTCGACTCTTTTGCCAGGAGTCTGCTCGGATATACTGAGCCCGAGGGGGCTCTTAGCTGGTCGTCCTCGACCCTGATCTTCGACAGATACTGGTTGTTGACGTCCGACCAGGTTACGGCGGGATATTCAATCATATTTTCTTTCAGCTACCTTGAGGCCACTGAGCTTCGTTCATTCAGTCCTTGAGTGAAGGCCTACACCGCCCAGCTGTCGGAGACCGGGGGTAGTTCCATTCGTTCTGTTTGGAAGCGAGATACGAATTCTCTCAGCATTTCATCCTCCCTCTGCTTAATCTTGAATACATCGGACTTTCTTGTTGCTACTTTGATGGCGCCGGCGTGTGCCTTTATGAAGGAGTCTTCTAGAATGGCAAATGAGTTTATGGAGTTGGGAGCTAGGTTGTGATACCATATCATGGCCCCCTTCGAGAGTGTTTCTCCGAACTTCTTCAGTAATACAGACTCGATCTCATCGTTCTTTATATCGTTGCCCTTTATCGTGCAAGTGTAGGCAGCAACGTGTTCATTGGGGTCTGAGATCCCGTTGTACTTTGGGAGTTTCGACATTCTGAACTTCTTTAGAATGGGTTTCGGGGTCGCTTCTTCGGGGAACGACCTCTGTATGAACTTCTTTGAATCCACACCTTTCAGAATCGGGGGTTCGCCTGGGATCTGTTTGACCCTGGAGTTGTAGGTCTCGACCTTCTTATCGTTGGCTTCTATCATTTTCTCGCTCGACTCGATCCTTTTGGTGAGGTCCTCGAGCATTTTGACTATGGTAGGATCGGCTATCGATTCATTGTTTCTCGATCTCTCCGGTACCTGTTCGACTGGGGGAGTAGCTTCCGTTGCTACTGTGCTGGGAGTCTTTGGGTGGCTTTGCAGTTGAGCGATAGCCAGCTGTTGTGCCTGCAACATTTCAAGAATTACATGAAGACTAACTTCCCGTTCTTCGCGGGCTAGGATTTTTTGGGCTTCCCGTTGGTCGTCATGTTGTATGCTCCTGTCGGTGTGTGAGTTTTCGTCGACCTGTTGTGCGTCTTGCGAACCCGCGTCCGCTAGAATCGGTCCAGGTGTGTTATCGGGGTTCTTTGGTGGTGGGCCAACAATTGAAACAGCTACACCATTTTCTCCGTGGTTTTCAAGGTTGCCGTTCTCAACTCTGTTCGCTGAGCCGGGCATTTTGACCTGAAATCGAAGATCTTGGACAAGAAAAAGTATGAACGATAACTTGCGTTGTGTAACCAAACCAGCAGGAAAATAAACACTATTATTTTTAGCCCTACGGTGGGCGCCAAACTGTTTACCTTGAAAATGATAATAACAATTAAATTTGTTGATGGGACTCTAAAAATACGTGATCTATTTTTATGCTAGTTGTTTAGCAGTTGATGTTAGATGTGTGAAGTTAAAAGATGAAATGTGAGCTAAAATGGAGCTATAATCGAATCGGGTGGTTTAGCTATTCGGGCCTCGGACTGGTCGATGAGGGGCCTCGAAGTCGATGCTTGGGCTCGGGCTCGAGCTATCGGGGATAACCGGGGAAGGGCTAACAGTTAGAATATAATTAATGGAGGCTCTTTATGGCCAATAACAAGCAGTAAATGAAGAAAAAGTATGAGAGTAATAAATAGGAGCAATAGTATCGAGAGAATATGTTAGAGAGAAAAGAGAGAGAGAGTTATTATTTTGTGTAGAATAGTTGGAGCAACAATAGGTCCTCTACAGAATGATAAGGATCCCCTTTTTATAGAAGGAGAATCCCAACGTAGTACAAAATGCATTAATTGTAAAGATATGGAGATGGGACGACTAGACATGACACCCTGATACAGGTTCCTGGTAGGCTCTGGGCAGACCGGCTTTGTCAGACGTAGATGCGTGTCTTGCGAACTCCCCATTCTTACTCTAGCCTCGATCGATATTCCCTTTAGGCCGGGCCTCGACGAGCCTGGAGGGAGGGAACTCAGCCACAACTTCGCATCCTCGAGGCCTCGAGATGTTCTTCTGAAACGAACTAATAGAAAGAAATTGGACCCTCTGATTTTGCCGCATACACACCACCTCTAATAGGACCCATGAAGCTGTCAAATCTATGAGCCCTCCTATTACCACCCCCGCTCTATGCCCGACTCATCACTTTACGATCCGATCGGTCAAAGCGAGCATTTGCATTCCATTCAATGGTTTAAGGTATTGGGTAACTTCATATGATGTAATATGACTTGCGTGTATTCTTATTTTTTGTTTTTGAGTGGTTCGAAATTGATTTGGAAGAATGATTCTCATTTTGAAGCTTTAAGTTGGAAGAATTGACCAAGTTTGACTTTTGTGTATTTGACCCTGGATCAGATTTATGATGGTTCCAATAAATTTGTATGGTGATTTTGCACTTAAACATATGCCCGGATTCATATTTGGATATTTCTAGAATGTTTTGGCTCTAATTGACGAAAGTTGACAATTTGAAGGTTTGGAAGGCCAATGGGTTTGACCAGTAGTTGACTTCGATGTTATCGGGTTCAAATTCTTGTTTTAGATGTGTTTGGCGTAAGTTTGAAATTTGAAATACTTCGATTAAGCTTGATTTGAGATGCGATTCATGGTTTCAATGTTATTTTAAGGGATTTGAGGCCTCCTGTAGGTCCTTGCTATATTTTGGAACTTGTTGGTATGTTCGAACGGTGTACCCAGGGGCTCGGGTGAGTTTCAATTTGATTTCAGATCATTTTGTAGCTTGCATGGGTTGCTTGTTCTGGGGTGCCGCATCTGCGGAGGATTGGTCGGAAATGAGAAGTCCTACCTGCGGTTGGAGGTGCGCACCTGTGAAATTTGGCCGGGCTGAGGATTTGTGCTTCCATGCTTGAGTAGGCGCACATGCGTAGCCACAGATGCGGTTGGTTTGCCGTAGATACGATGAGTGGCATGTTGAGGTATACTCGCAGATACGAGGTTGGTAGTGCAGAAGCACTGTCATAGATGCAATTGTTTGTCCTAAAATGCGGATTGTTGAGTTTGCATTTGCGCACATCATAGGTTTGCATTTGTGATCATTGTATCACATTTGCGATATTCAAGGCTCAGGAGCTGGTTCGCAATTGAGAGTAGTTGTTCGCATTTGCGGACATCGTAATTGCAAACAAGAGTTCTCAATTGCGATATCTACAGCTCGGTAAAAGATTGTGATTTCAGGTTAGCTCATTTTATATCATTCTTTAGGGTTAGACTCCATGGAGGGGATTTTTGGAGAGCAATTTCTTCCCAACGTCATAGGATAGTAACTTTAACTTGTTCTTGTTCGAATTCCATTACTTTTCTATGAATTTTTACTATAAAAAATCTAAGAGTTCATAGAGTAGAAATTGGGTTTTGGGTAGAATTAAAGACTTTGTAAAATTGAGATATAGTAGTTAGATTGAGGTCTGATCTCGAAAAAAATCACATATTTGGACTCGAGGTGAATAGGTAATCGGGATTCGGTGTTAGTTTTGCATCTCAACCACGTGAGCCCCGGTTTACTTTTTGTGAACTTTTTCAAATATGTTAAAAATCGAACATTTTTCATACGAGGGTAGTTTGTAAAGCTTGTTTTAACTTATTTGAGTAATATTTTAATAGATTGTGATGGTTTAGAGACTTGTTCTAAAGGTAAAGTTGTGTTGAATTGTTGATCTTGTTTCACAAAGAGTTAAGTACCGTGGTTAACCTTGATTTGAAGGAATTAGTAAATGGTTGGTCTATTTGCTACGTGATCTATGTGTGGGGACGTCGTATATGCAAGCTGACGAGTGTATATGCTTTATCATGGGTTTAAACATATGTAACAATCCGATTAGTCATTATGCTTTGTAGATCCCTATTCCCGTTTTAAGACTTTATGTATGTGCTATTCTTGTTTTGTGCATAGTGGCTTCGGCTTTGGTGATAGGAACGGCGGTGGTACCTTACTGTTGGGTTTCGCTAGAGCTTTTGAGTTAGTGATGGAGAACTCTATGTTTTCGAAGTGGGAGGAATATTATGCTAGCTTCTGGAGTATGGTGGCTAAGACTCAAGTTGACTATCTCCTCCTCAGGAGGTGTGATAGAGGGTTGTGCGAGGATTGCAAGGTGATCCCGAGTGAGAACCTCGCAACTCAACATAGGCTCCTTGTGATGGATGTCGGTATCTCGATGAAGAGGAAGAAGAGGTTTGTACGGGGTCAGTCGAGGATCAGGTGGGGAGCTTTGTCTAAGGATAATGCGCAGGAGTTGGAGGGGCGGCTGACGAATATGGGTCCCTGGAAGAATGGTGGGGACGCTAGCGCTATGTTGAAGGTGACGACGGACTGTATAAGGGAGGCAGCAAGAGAGGTGTTGGGGGTTTCAAAAGGTTACTCTAGCAGGCACCGAGGCGACTAGTGGTGGAATGACGTGGTCCAAGGTAAAGTGGAAGCCAAGAAAGTGGCTTACATTAAGTTAGTAGAGAGCACCGACGAGGATCAGAGGAGAGCGAAAAGAGAAAGATATAAGGAGGCCATGAAGGAGGCGAAATTAGCGATCATAGAGGCTAAGACTGCTGCTTTTGGTCGGCTTTATGAGGAACTTGGGGGCAAAGGTTGGGACAAGAAGCTATTTTGGTTGGCCAAAGCGAGAGAGAAGAAGGCTCACGACCTGGATCAAGTGAGGTGCATCAAAGACGAGGACGGTCGAGTATGATGGAAGAGGCCCAGATTAGGCAAAGATGGCAGTCGTACTTTCATAAACTTCTGAATGAAGAGGGGTACGGAAACATAATGTTAGGGAAATTGGGGCGCATTAAGGTTGAGGAGGTCGTGGATGCGATGGGTAAGATTAGTCGGGGCAAAGCGACTGGACCAGACGAGATTCCATTAGAGTTTTGGAGACATGCGGGTAGAGCAGGCTTGGAGTGGCTGACTGGGTTGTTTAATGTTATCTTCAGGACAAAGAGGATGCCTGATGAGTGGCGGTGGAGTACAATGGTTCCGATGTACAAGAACAAAAGGGATATCCAGAATTGTAACAACTATAGGGGTATCAAGTTACTAAGTCATACCATGAAAATTTGGGAGAGGGTGGTGGAAGGGAGGATAAGGAGGGCGGTGTCTATATCAAAAAACAACTTCGGGTTCATGCCGAGTTGTTCTACTACGGAAGCTATCCACCTTATTAGGAGGTTGGTTGAACTATACAGGGATAGAAAGAGGGATTTGCATATGGTGTTTATTGACCTAGAGAAGGCATATGACAAGGTACCTAGGGACGTTCTTTGGAGGTGTCTGGAGGTGAAAGGTGTGCCGGTGGCTTACATTAGGGCAATAAAAGATATGTATGATGGAGCTATGACTTGGGTTAGGATTGTGGGAGGTGACCTAGAGCCTTTTTCGGTGGTTATGGGGTAACACCAAGGATCTAAGCTCAGTCCGTTCTTATTTACTCTAGCGATGGATGCACTACCACACCATATCCAAGAAGAGGTGCTATGGTGTATGTTGTTCGCTAATGATATAGTTCTGATTGATGAGATGCGAGGCGGCGTTAATGGGAGACTGGAGGTTTGGAGGACGACCCTGGAGTTTAAAGGTTTCAAGTTGAGTACGACTAAGACGGAATATGTTGAATGTAATCAGTGACGTGACGAGGGAAGAGGATGTGCAAGTTAGGCTTGACTCACAAGTCATCCTCAAGAGAGAATGTTTTAAGTACTTAGGGTCAATTATATTGGATGATCGACGGGGATGTTACACACCGTATTGGGGTGGGGTGGATGAAATGGAGGTTAGCATCTAGAGTCCTGTGTGACAAGAATGTGCCACCGAAACTCAAAGGTAATTTCTATAGAGCGGTGATTAGACCGGCCATGTTGTATGGAGCTGAGTGTTGGCCAGTCAAGAATTCACATATCCAGAAGATGAAAGTATCAGAAATGAGGATGTGGAGATGGATGTGTGGGAACACTAGGCTGGATAAGATTCGGAATGAAGATATTCGGAAGAGGGTGGGCATGGCTCCCGTGGACGACAAGATGCGGGAAGCACATCTTAGATGGTTCGGACATATGCGGAGGAGAATCCTAGATGCAGCGGTTAGAAAGAGTGAGCGGTTGACTTTGCAGGTACGAGAAGAGGCAGAGGATAAGAAGTATTGGGGCGAGGTGATCAGGAAGGACATAGCGCGGCTTCAGATTTCCAAGGACATGGCTCTTGATAGGAACATGTGGAGGTCGAGCATTAGGGTGGTAGGCTAGGGGTAAACGAGAGTTCTTACCTCTTTGTACCGGGTAGTCTGATTGAGTTTTGTTTAGGTTTGTTAGCGGTCTATGTTGTGTTCACGTTGTTGTTTTGCATAGTTTTGTGTTATTGTCCTTTCACTTATTCGTTGTTATTTTCTTTCTGACATATTTTTGTTGTTATATGCCTTTTGTCTTGTTTCTTTTCTGATATTATTGTCTCTCCTGTTGAGATGAGAGTCTCCTAAAACAGCCGTTCTACCCTTTTCAGGGTAGGGGTAAGGTCTGCGTACACTCTGCTCTCCCCAAACACCACTAGTGGGATTTTACTGGGTATGTTGTTGTTGTTGTCTTGCAGGGACTGTTGGTGTGGTTTTGGAAAGGTTCGGGTTGAACTTAGACCTCTTAGTTCAATTGTAGTAGCCTAAGGTGGCCAAGTTTCACTTGAGTCAAATACTTTGAGTAAACGATCTCGGAATTGGGATTTGAAGGTCTAATATGTTCGCGTGGTAATTTTAGACTTGGTTGTATGTTCGGATCCAATTTCGGGTGGACCGAGAGTGTTTTGACGCTTATTGTCAGAGGTTGGTATTTTGAAGGTTTTAGAGTTTTCTAAGTTTGAATTGAAGTAGAGTTTGATGTTATTGGATCTCGATTAGCATTTCGAGCTTGAGAGTAGGTTCAGTATGTCATATCGGAACTGTGTGTGAAATTTGGTGCCATTTTAAGTTGTCAAAATATGATTCGTCGCGTTCTTTGTTAGTTGGAAGAAGTTTGAAGTTCAGAAGTTGACTAATTTGGTTTTGAGGTGTGTTTCTTGGTTCGATGTTATTTTATATGTTCCAAGACTTCAAGTAGGTCCAAATTATGCTTATAGACTTGTTGGTATGATGGGATCGGGTCCCGAATAACTCATGTGGGTTTTAGACCACCTAGAGCAAGGTTGAAGTTAGATGATTTTGCTGATGTCTAGTGTTGCTCGTGATCGCATAGGGCGGTGTGTTGATGAGGAGGATTTGTTCTACACAATCACGGAAGTTGTTCTGGTAGGTCTTTGCATTCGCATGGCTGAGATTGCGAACGCGGTGAGTTAGAGGCTTGTGCAGGGGGAGGAGCTGGCCTAAGCAATTACATAGGGAGTCGGCGAAAGAGGATTTATGATGGTAGGCTATAATCTAGGGTTTTAGTCGCTTATTTCACTATAATTCACTACATTTTACTTGTGTTGAGCTATAATTGGTAGTGTTTTGCACTTATTCTATGTTTTATATCTTGTAGGAATGATTCCGAGCTATGTGGATGTTGTGGAACTAATTCGAGCTATTTAAAGCTTTGAAGTCTTAGTAGAAGCCCTAGGGATTAAGTCCGGATCGTGGTCGGGGGTCAAGGACCATGTCTGAACGTCACAAAGCGAGAGTTAATCGGTACTCTGAGAAGAACACACAGCCGCGACGCATGGTGTGCCGCGGCTGTACAAATGTTGCTTGCTATAAAAGTGTCAAGCCTTTGAAGATCTCTATTGCTGCCTCGTATGGAGCGTCGCCCCATGCGGCGCGCCTGTGTATTTTTTACAGAGTAATTTTCCTATTCGGATAGGAAAGGGTGATTTCGTCTAAGCCCGACCCTACTTGGTATAAATACATGGAAAACGTTATTTTCTGTACCCATAACATACTTTAGACTTAGGGAAGCTAAGGAGGAGTTGGAAGAACATAATCACAAGGATTTCATCATTCATTCCTCACTCAAGACCCGAGTTTAGATCGAACTTATGCTTTCCTATACTTTAATTCTATTTGTGATGAATTGCTACATATCTATGGAGTAGTTCCCTTTAGGGTTTGATGAATTTGGTGTATTGATGAATGTTTGTGGATTATAACTCTAGTTTTATCTATTAAATCATTTTGGATGATTTAATTGTTGCATCTATATTCACTAGTTCATGTAATCGAAGAGGCATAACTTGTGATATCGTGGCATTATATTGTTCGTTGAGTTGATAGATTCTTCTAAGTAATCGAAAGAGGCTAGTTGAATCATTGATTAGACCTAGTCTAGAGAATAATCGAAAGAGGTTTTCCTAAAGACCAATCCACTACGCATTCTTGCATATATTCAAGTACTTCAAATTGGTTCATCTCGTGTGGTTAAGACTTAATGAAGAGAGGAGTTTATTCTGAACGTTTGAACTAATATCTGAGTGAATTCGAGAGATTCACTTAGAACTGAATTATCTAGAGTTAGATCCCGAACAATTATCTTGCATCTATCCTATCAAAACACTATCTTCTCCCATTAATAACCTTATTTTCTCATTCTTTGTCTCGATAGTCATTAGTCAATAGATTTAGATTCTGAGTTAATTTAAGTTATTAATCATTGAAATCTCAACTGTTGATCTTCTTGGATAACAATCAAGCTCGAAACTATGTGAATACTGTTTAAATCCAATCCATGTGGATATGTTATTATACTATACTAGATTTGATTAGTGAGCATAATATAAGTGTGAGTTTTGCGCTCGTTAATTTTTTGTGTCGTTGCCGGGGATTGACAACCAATAGTGTTTGAAATAGTTTGTAGTGCATTCAGTTTTTTTTTCTTTTATTCTATTTTTCCCTTTTGACGTTTGGTGTTCTTTGGTTGTGCGCATGTTACAGGTTAAGATTGGTGCATGACTCGAGCTTCTGCAAAAGAAGTGATACCATACAAGCCAGAGTTAGAAATAGATCTGTGACAACTGAGGAAGGAAATAGATCTAACCGAGAAGCTAGTAAAGGTTGGGCAATCCTCAACCCAGGAAACTATGGCGGGAAACGGTGATGATAATTTAGATTTGGCTGCAAGGTAGGCAGCCCAACAATGAGAAAAAACTGCATGGGATGCTAAGGAAGAAGCTATTAGAGATGCACATAATTTCTATGAAGAAGAGAGGGGTCACATAATTAATCAACATCAACCCTTAGCTGCAGACCAGTTCGGAAATATAGCTCCCAGGCCTGGGAGACCACTTGGCGATTATGCTAGACCAATCTACAATCAAGGGTTATCCAGTGTTAGACTACCTCAAATAGCAGCAAACAATTTCGAGTTGAAGCAAAGGTTGCTTCAAACCCTTCAGAATCGATGTGTCTTCAGAGGGAAGCCAAACGAAAATCCAAACACACATCTTATGGACTTCGAGGAGATTATGAATCCCTTTCAATACAATGGGTTGTCACAAGATGCAGTGTACTTAAGGGCATTCACCTTTTTATTTAAAGATGACGTGAAGGAGTGGCTTCGAAGTTTGCCCAACGGATCAATTAGAACTTGGGAGGAGATGGCCACAAAGTTCCTTGATCAATATTTCTCCTCAGCTAAGACGGGAAAGATTAGAGGAGAAATCCATAACTTCTGCCAAAAAAGAGACTGAAACTATTTTTGAAGCATGGGAGAGGTTTAAGGAGATAGTTAGAAAGTGTCA